TGACTTCATTTAGAATCTCTCTGTTAATGCCAACCTCCTTTTTGACACATAATACCTTAACTATTCTATGAAATCAGGAGCAGTAGTATCTGAAGCAATGAGAACAAATCTCCCTTGGGGTTTCCTTTTTGTTTGTGTGCAGTGGGAAATCAGAAGGCAGCTCCTTCCTGTACCTGGGTGATGGACGCTTCGTGGCATGTCCACCATGCTCTGTTTTTTCGTTCTCCTACCCTAGAATTATGCCTAAACTACTCAGTGTGTCACCAGGGTAGTAGGGAGTTATAACCAAAAAAGTAACTCACTACTTACTCTAAATTCTATGATGCTTTACTTTTGAAATTTCTATTGTTTTTCTCTCCTTAGGCCAGTAATGGTGACATAAGACAGGCAGTCAGCCTTCTCACTGATGAGAGAGTTAAGGAGCCCAGTCAAGACACTGTTGCTACAGAACCATCTGAAGTAGAGGGGAGTGCTGCCAACAAGGAAGTATTAGCAAGTAGGTATAGCATATCCTGTCTTGGTCTTTCTTTGAACTAGCAGCAGAAAATAAGAAATGAGTGTATGTGAGTTCCCTGTCAATCACACCAACCCTTAGGAAACAATAATAATAATGATAATAATAGCTAATTATTGAGTCATTGCTGTGTTCTAGGCACAATTCCAAGCACTTCAATGGTTTCATTCATTCATTCATTCATTCACTAATTATTTAGCACCTATTTAAAGAGCACTAGCCATATGCCAAGTACTAGTGAATCCCTGCCTTCATGTAACTTATTTTTTATTCGGGGGGAGATAAGTACATAAATAAATTATATAGCATATTAGAATGTGCTAAGTACCATGGAGAAAAATAAAAGGACAGAATGAAAGAAATGAAAAAAGGCGTGCTCAGGCCTGGGTTTCAAATAGGATGGACTTAAGAAGGTGCAAGGGAAGTGAAAGAATAAATCATGCAAGGCCCTGAGGTGGGAGTGCGCCTTGGCTTGCTCAATGAGTTGCAAGGAGGCCAGAGCTGAGGCTTAATGAATGAGGAGGGCAGTAAGGGATGGGGCTGTGAAGGAAGCAGATCATGCAGAGCCTTCCTAAGTGCTGGCTTTTGCTCTGAATTAGATGGATGGCCTTTGGAGAGTTTGGAGCAAAGAAAAGATGTAAACTGGTTACCATTTTCTAGATATCATTCTGCCTGCTGTGTGAGAACAGAATATGGGAGGAGGGTGAAGAGCATGGGTCAGATCAGAGAGCCCAGGACCAGTCAAGGGGCCATTGCAGATGATGGTGGCTTGGGCCAGGATGCAGTGGGGGAGGGGTGAGAAGTGCTTGCATTCTGGCCGTGTATAGTATTTTTAAGGTAAAGGATCCAGGTGGAGATGTCAGAAGCGTAGACTCAGGTGCACAGTTCAGGGAGAATCCAGGCTGGAGATAGATAAACTTGGAGCCATAGCCTATAAATAAATAGTATGTAGAGCTGTGGGACTGATGGCTCTCCAAGGGAGTAGGTATAGGAAAGAGAAAAGGTTCAGTGACTAAGCACTAGATACTCTCAGTATTGAGAGGTCTGGGGAGGTGAGAATGTCCAAGGAAAACCAGGAGAGTGGAACTTTGGAAACCAAGAAGGCTTCCACGAGGAGTGAATCATTAGCTGGTCAGACGGTGTTAACAGACATTTGGGCTGTTTGCAGTTTTGAGCTATTCTGAATATTGCTGGTGTGAATATTCTCGTATGTGTCTTTTGGTACACATTGCAGCTTTTTCCAGTCAACATTGTTCTTTTTGAGACTCATACATGTTATAGGTTATAACTGTAGTTCATTCGTTTTCACTGGTGTGTAGTATTCATGGATTCATGTTTCTTGTGCGTGTATGCAAGTTTCTTTAGTGTATATACCTAGCGATTTAGTTGGTAGGTATTATGATATGCTCATCTCCAACCTTACAGATAATGACAGTATTTTCCAAAATGATTTTTTACCTATTAATACTCCCACTAACAGGGTTTGAGAGTAATCATTGCTCTCAAATTTATTATATTAATTTTAGATTGGGAAATCAATACCCATTCTCTTGATGTAAAATGCTGTCTCAGCTTCCCCTCATGGTCTTTACAGATTCTAATGAAAACATTAAGTTAATTAACAAAAGAATGGTGAAAGGAGAGTCAAAGGGCCAGGAAAGTGGACATTTTTAAATAGTTCTATTCTGGTTTTTCTGTAGCACTTTGCACATTTGCATCTTCTGAGGGTAAGGGAAGTCCAGTTCAGAGTCAGGACCCATTTGTAGCCTCCCAGGGCTACCAGCATCAGTCTCACTTGCCACCTATGCTCAGGGCCTTCCCTCCAGGGAATCTGCCACATAGCCACCTGCTGTCTCTTTTGCTGACAGACATAACAGTTCTTATTGGCATTTTGTGCCTGAGAGGGTACAAAAGGAATATGTCTAGATTCAGCCTGTCTCTGCATTGCTGCAGTGCCCCCTTTTCCACTCATTTAAGGGACTTCTCATGGGCATGATATGTTCTACTTTAATGTATCCCTCAAATTTCCATAAGGGTATGCCTGTACGGGCAACCCTTGAATAGGTCAGGTCTTAGTTGCTCTCCTGCCTGACTGTGTGGCCAGGGTATTGGCCACTGCTCATGAGTCAGTAATTCTTCCATCACCGCTAGGAAAACAGCATGCAATTCAGCTCACCAAGTTGATTTGGTTTTACCTCCCTCGATCAGAGAGACATCTTTCCAAATAGGATGTTGTCCATTCACCTTGGAACTGCCATCCATAAACCAAGCGGCTCTTCATCAGTCCAGAGCTGTTTATTAAGGCACTGTGTAAGTGGCAGTAGAATCCAGCAGTTCCTCACACAGTTCCAGAGTGAGTCCTGGGGAAAAGAGGCTCCCTCCTTGCGTTCCCCAGGTAATGTGATTCTGTATAAACCATTTCCATTTTTATTACAGAACTCTCTTGGGTACTGCTGTCCCCATTGAGACATCACCGAAGACAGCATGAGTATTCAGGTTTCAAGATCATTTTATGTCCTCATTCATAGGGGTAGCTTCAATTCATGTCTGATAACAAGGTAATAAATGCCCCTCAAGTGGAAATTCTCTAGTCCAAAGTCCCAGTAGTCATCCCTGGGAGGCACTCACAGGCTTTTGCCATAAGCACTTAATAAACACTCCACAAAGGGCTTATCAAATGGAGAATTTGTCCCTGCCAGCACTATAGCTTCTGTTCTACACCGCGTGGTCTGGTGGAATCTTACTGGTTCCCATTTAGCATGTTCAATTAATATTACTCGAAGGATGGGTTTACATGCCTTCTGTTTTACAGTCCTAGGTGAGGGAACATTCCCCAGGCAGGTACCATGCCTGTCCCCAGAATACCGTCAGATAAAAGAGATGCAATTACTTTACATGAAGCAAGTTCAAATCTACCAGTTCTCTTGTAAAATTTTGCCTTAATTCCATCAACTCTTACCTTCCTGACTGTAGCCTCCATTAGGACTTTTATCAGTAGATTTTGAAATCACAGTACATCAGGCTCCTGTGTCAAGGAGCCCCAGAAAAGTTTCTTCTCCGCCCCCTGACCCTCTTGCCCACTTGAGTACATAAGGCTTTGGGTCCCCAACAAGGGGTAGAGCCAAGGAACTCTTTGGACTCTCTTTTTTGTCAATCTTTGTCTTGATTAACCTGCCTCAGTATTGCCCCATGAAATTGCTGGTCAGCGTTCTCATTGTAATCTCTGCCTTTAGCTTTTAAAATTTCTCCAAACTGGGGTAAATGCAGCAAACTTGTTTGAAGTCCTTTAATGTTGGGGAACCAGTAGGAGCTCCGTTTGGTCCACCAACCTTTGGTAGTGCTGTATTAAAGACTTTAATCAGTGTCTCAGCAATATCTTTTATTCATCCCATTTCTTAATAACCATTTAGATTTTGATCACCCTGCTGAGACGAGGCCCCTGACTTTCCCCTTTCTTTTTCCTTTAGTCTCACCCTGTTTTTGTTTTTTTTGTTTTTTTTTTTTGAGACAGAGTCTCACTGTGTTGCCCAGGCTAGAGTGCTGTGGCATCACCCTAGCTCACAGCAACCTCAGACTCCTGGGCTCAAGTGATCCTTCTGCCTCAGCCTCCTGAGTAGCTGGGATTACAGGCATGCGCCACCATGCCTGGCTAATTTTTCTATTTTCTGTAGAGACGGGGTCTCACTTTTGCTCAGGCTGGTCTCAAACTCCTAACCTTCAAGCAGTTCTCTGACCTCAGCCTCTCAGAGTGCTAGGATTACAGGCATGAGCCACTGTGCCCAGCCTGTTTCTGTGAGTTTGACTACTTTCAATACCTCATATAGGTGAAATTATACAGTTTATGACTGGCTGATTTCATTTAGTGAAATGTCTTCAAGTTTCATCCATATTGTAGCATGGGACAGGATTTCCTTTATTCTTTTTCATCGTGGTAAATTACACAAAACATAAAATTTGCCATCTTAATTATTTTTAAAATTTACCATCTTAACTATTTTT